TGGGAAGCCTCACTCGGTGGAGCCTCAACTCCATGGAGCCTCACTCTGGGGAGCCTCACTCGGTGGAGCCTCACTCTGGGAAGCCTCACTCGGTGAAGCCTCATCTCCATGGAGCCTCACTAGGTGGAGCCTCAACTCCATGGAGCCTCACTCGGTGGAGCCTCACCCTGGGGAGCCTCACTCGGTGGAGCCTCATCTCCATGGAGCCTCACTCTGGGGAGCCTCACTCGGTGGAGCCTCACTCTGGGGAGCCTGCTGTCGGCTATATGAAGCTGATAGGCACCAGCAAACAGCCCCAGCCATGCTAAGGTGAGTTCTGGCTCCTTCCATAGTGTTTCACAGACACATTCCATCTCACCCAATCATACCACTTCTGCTTGCACTTTATCAAGTTCAAGAAAAGATCTTAACACAAAATTCAGCACCACCCTCTTTTTTGTTAAGAAAGATGAAAGGAACCTGTACTTCTTTCTCCTATTCACATATAAGGTACAAGGGCTCACTTTTAGGTAAGGATTAAAGATAAACTGAAAATACCTCTGTGAAGAAAAACTGGGGTTCCTGCTACCTAAGATGCTATCACTACAGGCTAAGATTGTTCTCACTCTTAGAGCGAGAGGGATGGGGGTGGGGGCTGGAAAGAGCGAGGGAGGGAGTGGGAGGGAAGGAACAGAAGGGCAGGGCAGGGCAGGCAGTGAGGAGAGGGAGAGAAGGAGGACAGAGAATCACCACTTTAAGGAGAAAGGTAGTTCCATACAGCGATTCATTCAAGGTTTAAAAACACCAAGACAATGAGACGAACTGCTTTAAAAACGCCGCCCGTTATTCCATTCTCAACACTTCGCTTTGCCCTGCTCCTGCTGCGTGAGATGTCTCCACTTGCCATCCCAGCCTGTCTCCATATCTCTTCAAACCTCAGTGCCCAGAGCTGAGAGTCCCCTGACCCCGGGGATGGTCTAAGTAGGAACTGAAATCATCCCTGCTTGTGCTTCCTTCTGCTATCATACTACTTACGGAGGGGTGGGGGGCAGTGGAAATGACGTGAAACTCACCAAGAGCAGAGGAAAGAGGGGGGAAGCCCACCGCCCACAGGCACCTCAGTTGTAGGAAGCCACATTTCCCATTTCAGCAGAGGCGCACCCCACAGTGGGCTGAGGAGCCGGGCGCAGCACGGTACTCACGTCGATGGCATCCCTCTCGAAGATGCGCAGCTGCAGGAAGAGCTCCAGCTTGATCTTGCGCTCCTGGAACAGCTCCTCCATCTGCGACTGTGCCTCGTCCAGCTGCTGCAGCACCGTCTCGATGTGGTTGATGGAGCTGTTGTGGGGGGTCTTGTTGCTGGAGATGGCTGAGTCCCTGTGGAGGTGCAGAGGAGGGAGACAGGGTTGGACGAGACAAACAGGAATTGAGAAAGTCTCACATTGTTAGATACCCACAGCCAGATCCGGCAACTGCAAAACTTCAGGGCTAGGAAGAAAGCTGGCAGGAAGCTGGGCTGCCTGCCTCAGAAAAGGGAAGAAGCTGCCCTCCAGAAAAACAATAAATTGGCTCCTTCCTCTGAGCGATGCCTCTAACTCTAATGATAAACTGAAGAGTTTCTTTGGTATTTTCTCTTGTATTAGACTCATATAAGATGTCTAATAATTAAATAAAATTACTTTAGTACAGTTTCATTTTCAGCCACTTTTGTCCACAAGGAGGACAAACGATACCTGCGTAGTAGAACCAGTAGAGTCACACTGGTTTTGAGAGGTTCAACTTCAATGTGATTAATTAAGCCTTTATTCAGTAACTCGTGCCTGAGTCTCTTCTAGCAAAGCAAACATCATGTAAGGCTACTGGCGACGAGTCGATGAACTGTCCTCTGATGGATACAGTGGGGCAGATTAAATTTACCTAAATGGTCCCCTGACCCGGTAAAGAGAAATTTGTCTCAAAAGGGAACATAAGCAAAGCCAGCACTACCTCCCGGCCTTTCTGTGATGAGGGGCATGAGGGGTAGGTCTTGCTCCCAGCCCAGCCCACCTAAGCCTGAACTTCACAGACTTACTGAGGAGATGGGTGTTCCCCACACTCTAGAAACGCAGGTGTTCAGAGCCTGAAGGATGTGGTCCTCCAAGGGTTATATCAATCTGGCTATACAGAAATTTCAGGAGTGACTAGTAGGTGTTAGAGAAGAAGAAAAAAAACTAAACCAACAGGAGCTGAATTACGAGGATGTTTATTAGTCAGTAAGGAGCCCAGTGGTGCAATGGTTAAGTGTTAACTGAAAGGTCAGTGGTTCAAATCCACCAGCCGCTCAGCAGGAGAAAGATGTGGCAGTCAGCTTCCGTAAAGATTACAGCCTTGGAAACCCTGTGAGGCAGTTCTACTCTGTCCTATAGGGTTGCTGCTATGAGTTGGAATCAATTTGATGGCAGTGGGTTTGGTTTTGGGTTTTAAACTAGTCAATGTTGCAATGAGAAAAGTTATGGAGATAAAAATAATCAAGGGAGGGAGAAAGCAGAGAAAAAGAGAAGACCAAAGGGAAGAAAGAAGAGAGATGTCACTCTGTTTCACTGTCACGGTTGTTTGTTCTCCATCTGGTTGGATGGAGAATTGGGGCCAACTGTTAGAAAAATTAAAGAGGAAAGGGAAATCACTGGCAGGATTTCAAAATGGCTGTGTTGAAACCAGCACCTACCTCAGCTGCTGGATGAGGTCCTCGCCTTCCTTGATGACGTTGACCGTCACTTGCAGGGTGGTCTGCTGCTGCTGGCCGAAACGCTTGATGAGGTCCTGCACCGCCTCCACCGACTCGGCGTACACGTCGTCCAGCAGCTCCTTCTGCAGCTCCTCCAGCCAGGTCCACAGCTGGGGGTGGAGGGGGCAGTGAGGGGGACGCAGTGTGAGGGGAGTCCTGGTGCGGAGACCGCGTGTGAACACACCGGGAGGGAAATGGTGGCTGCGCCCAGAGAGGTGGAAGGAAGGAAGGAAGGGAGGGAGGAGGAGGGGGAGGGAGGGAGGGAGGGAGAGCATCCCAAACAGTCCGACTGCCGGAGGAACGCAGGCACAAAAAGCAGGACGGGCCGCTGCGTGGTGAAAAAATAAACAGGCAGCGCCGAGCGGGGCTGTCACAAGAGAGAAAGGAAAGGGAAAGGAAGTCCCTCTTTCCAAGGCTTCCTCAGCTCCGTCCAGAGTGCAGTGGAAATGAGAAAGGACCCCACCATACACAACAAAAACATCTGTTATGCATATAGGAGGCATTCTTGTAAGGTACCTTCTTACTCTTATTTAGCAGACGGAGACTTCTACTTTATTTTTAGCAAAGGCACTACAAGCCATTATTGATTATTACATCACTCCTCGGAGGCAGGTGCTTTACACACCTCAGAGAGCAGGCTGCCCACGATGTGGTAGAATTAATGAGTCACAAAGCTGGGTCGTGAACATTCGAGGGAGGCCCACCTTGAGGTAAAACACCCACACCAGGACATGGTCAGCCAGTCCACAGTACAGCCCCTCGCCGAAAAGTTTGAAAACTAGAATTAGTGAAAAACCTTCATTGCCACTAAAAATGTCACCGGGACTTTGATGGGCAAAGACAACTTGGAACAGCAGCAGCCAGGGGACCAAAGTACTCTGCCCACTTCCTGGAAGTACACTGATGCCTTCATCTCTGGGGCACTATTCAGCAGCCCAGAGAGAGATTATTAATTAAAGTGAAAGGGCTCTGGTGGCTTGGAAGTGGTTTGCACGTGGAGGAACTAGTCTCTCTGCTTCCTCGGGGACGAGAGCATCGTCTCCTGTATTCAGCACACGTCTGTTAGAGACGGCTGCCTCGGCTACAGCGAGAGAAAGATCAGCAAGTCCAGAGACTTCCCCTCTGACACCTGGCCCAGCAGCTGCCAGCCTTCGTGGATAACACATCAAAACTGCACTTGCAAAAACAAATTGTGCTTGTATTTGGAAATGTGTTTCCAAGCTAATCTTCTTTTAAAACAGCTTGATTGAGGTATAACAGATATAACAATAGATTGCAGGAATTTAAAGTACACACTTGGATAAGTTTTGACGTATGTGTACACCCATGAAAAGATCGTCACTATCAAGACAGTGAACATATCCATCATCCCCTAAAGTTTCCTTTGTCCCTTTGTAATCCCTCCCACTGTCCCTCCGTGTACCCTCCTCACCCCAGGCAATCACTGACCTGCTTTCTATTACTACTGCAGACTAGCTTGTAATTTCTAAAAATTTTCTATAAATGGAATCATAAAGCATGCACTGTTTTTCTATCCAGCTTGCTTCACTCAGTATAATTTGAGATTCACCCATACTACTGAGGGCATCAATAGTTCATTCATTTTTATTGTTGAGTAGTATTCTCCTGTATATACATATAAAACATATACATATACACACACACACACACACACACACACACACACACAGTAGAATTCTTATACAAGTCTTTGCATGGACTTATGCTTTTGTTTCTCTTAGGCAAATACCTAGATGTAGAGAGGTTAGATCATAAAAACCAAAAACCAAACCCACTGTTGTTGAGTTGATTCCAACTCATAATGACCCTATAAGACAGAATAGAACTGCCTCACAAGGTTTTCAGGCTGTAAATCTTTACGGAAGCAGATTGCCACATCTTTCTCCCGAGGAGCGGCTGGTGGGTTTGAACCGCCAATCTTTTGGTTAGCCCACCAGGGCTTCTTGCTGAATCATAAAGTAGGTGTGTATTTAAGTTTTTAAGAAACTGCCAAATTGCTTTCCAAAGTGGTCACTCCATTTTACATTCCCACCAGCAGTGCACAAGAGTTCCAATGCCTCAGCATCCTCGCCAATACCTGGTATGGTCCATCTTATTAATCTGAGTCATTCTAAATGAGTGGTGCCTCACTGTGGTTTTAGCTTGCAATTCTCCAATGACTAACACTGGCAAATCCAAGCTAACGTTTTAAGAGTTTTTGCTGCTTAACATATCGTTACTTGAGAACAGTATCAGCGGCTTTTGTTCCTCTTAAATATCCATAGAGAACCTGACTTCCATTTTTAATAAAGAAAAGCTTAAAGCACACTATAGCTTGTTCACTGTGCAATATTACACACACAAAATAAGACTTTATTGTTATTAGCAGGCAAACAAATAATTTCAAAATATAGCAGACCGATTTAAAAATAAAACTTCTGGCAAAAGACTTATTTTTCAATGTAGTGATTCAGGTTCCTAAGAGTTAAATATTTGTTAATCTTTCTCTTATTAATTACCCATTTTTGTATATAAGTTAACATGCTCCATACTAGAATTTTAGTAAAAGGAGTCTTGGAGGTAGGCTGGTTCAACTTTTTCATTTCACAGATTTAGGGAATGAGGTCCCAGTGGTAAAGTGACCTGTCTACGATCATACACTTAGTGGCAAAGCCAGTGTCAGAATGGAGGTCTCTAGATTTTCTTTCACATAAACACTGCCATCCGTCATTTACCAAATATTGACTGAGCACCTACTATGCTCTGCCCCATCTATATAGGGTCATATAATTAATAAGATACTCTCCTGGGTATTTTCCCCCAAACTTTCCTCTAAATTATCGCGAATGTTATAATCATATTCATAAATAATAGGAAGGAAGATATTATCATGACAACGAGGCATCTTCCAGTTTGGTCTAACACTTCATGTTAAAAGGCATTCTAACTGGCTGTAAGTCATAGTGCACAGCAGTAACAGTATTATAAGATTTACAGGAAGGCCATCTGGGTTTAAGAAATGCTTTAACAAAGCATTAACTCTGTGACATAACAAGTCACTTAATTTCTCTGAGATTCAGTTTTTGAGAACAGGGATCCCGAGAAAACCAACATCCTCAAGGAGTTACTAAGAGGCCTGGATGAAAAAGGACGCCTGCCTGCCAGCACCCAGGGAAAGGCAACGTTACCCAAATGTTAATACCCTAATTATCATGATGGACTCAAATTAACTCAACAGTCTAGATTTGCTGAAAGAAACCAAGTCTGTGCCAGTTACGCTGCTCTGAGCAATGAAGGAGCAGAATGGATATTTTACCAAAACAAGGCTGTAAGATTTTATTGAAAAGAGTCAAAATATTTAACCAAAGCCATCTATGATATATTATCCAAAGGGTCACTGTGGACCTTCCCAGCTGAAATGGTTTCGTAGACTTCATCATAAGTGGCCTTCCACGTGCCAGGTGGCAGGTGAGTGGCCCCACCGGAAGTCGGTCTTCTGTGTCCCCCTGGAGAACAAGCCCTGGCTACTGACTGCCCTGTAATTCATCTCCTAAGACCGACATTCATGAGAAAACCCATCTTTATGACTGCGTTATTCTGCTGGAAAAGAAGGTAATAACCATTCACTTCACTCCCTCCCTTCTCCAATATCCGATTCTTCTGCCTCTAAACACGGGCTTCATGGAAGCTGCCCTCTCCCTCGTTACTGTACAAGGGAACATACCAGAAGTTGCAAAAGGACAGGCGTGTCCCTTGGTGTGCACCTGCCTAAGTGTCAACCGTAGGAGCTCATTAACAGATGACGTATGGAGGGCACTTCATGGATTCATAGATGGGCACTGCACATAAACACACCATCCCGTCCCACCAATGAGCCTCAGGAATGGCACTGCCTCAGCATTTTATGCCCAAATGTTCAGCAGGATTGAATGATTTAAGCAAATGTATGATTTAAGCAAAAGTACATTCAAAAAAGTTCCTCAGAATATACTTTATGCTCTTAAAATATCACTGCACATCTCTTCTTTCATTCTAATCTAAACAGAAGAATTACTTACAAGAAGAAAGGTAAAGGAGCAAACTATAACACAAGTATTGACTCTGCTACATCAGGCAGAAGGTGTCGGACGCGTGAGAAAACAAGCTCACTGTACTCTAACCAAACCAAACCCAGTCAACTCTAACTCACTATGACCCCATGTGTGTTAGAGTAGAACTGTACTTCATAGGGTTTTCAACGGCTGTGATCTTTCGGAAGTAGATCGCCAAGCCTTTCTTCCGAGGTGCCTCTGGGTAGATTCTATCTGCCAACCTTTCTGTTAGCAGCCAAGAACTTAACTATCTGTGCCACCCAGGGACTCCTCTTTGTACTGTAGGCAATGAGAACTGGGTCCACCAAGGGCTGGAGCCAATGGCAGCCCCTGGCGTTAGGTACACATCGAAGAGCTAGGTTCTCATAACACTAGTAGAAATCAGTACCTCTTCTTTAAATGTGTTGAGAAGATAGAAACACCAGTGTTTAAAACTCCATTAGAAAAACACAGCAAAATCAGCAAAACACAACAAAATTAAAGAGTTAATTTAAAAATTCTCTGGTAGAGAAGTTGCATGTCTTTGATGGGGACATTACAGAACACATCTAGTAACTAAGCCTTTAACAGAAGTGTCCCAACCCCCTCCTGCGCTTGTCCAAACACCACAGGTCAAGTCTCCCAGTGTCACCAGCTGGCCTCTCCTTGAAGCTGAGATGCTGCGCTGTTCCTGCACGGGTGCCCCAGAATGCTGAGACGCAGGCTGTGTGGGCCCCTGCAGGTAGCTCAGCAGCCTCCCCACTGACTCACCCATAAGGCCTAACTCAGGAGTCCAACTTGCATGACAAGACAGGTGGGAGCACGTGGGCAGGGTGTCTGTCTGGGTGAGGACATCCGTGAAGTTCCTCCTCTCCAGCCAATACTACCATAGATGCCATTTAAATGACAAGTCTCACTTCTAGACACTGTGAAGTGGAGAGATGAAGATCCAAACTGACTGAGAACCTCCCTGAGCCACAATGCTTGGGCGAGCTTCTCTACAGCCCCACTGCAATAACACAAGAGGTAATGTCGCTTCC